GATCGGTTCAGTAGTTATTTTATTACGAAAGCCCTATCCAACGGCCGCGGCATGTTGCTATTGAAGGATGAGTCCAGACTCCATAATTTCCCACTGTCATTTGCACGTATAAACAAACGAACTACCTACCTGTTGAGTTTTATTATCATGTACCTACGATAGCATTTCTATTTTGTCATCAGCATAAAAGTTCAGTTCTCAGTACTTATGTAGTACTTGCACTTCTCAGAATGTAATGTTTAGTGTCATTACTCATTACTCAGGATCCGCGGAAAATTTTGTAAGTTTTATGCAAGCTTGTGTCATTTCATATACCAAATTCTTGATAAGTTATTTTATTACTGGTCAATTGACAAGACCAATAATAACTTCGTAATTAATGTTTCTGCAGCACTAAATAATATTAGAATCTCTGTACGGAAAGGGCTAGATTTAAAATATGCTCAGTAGACATTAATCGGGTGTCATCCGCAGCCAAAATGAGGTGTCGCGCGACCGATCCGACCTGCACCTGTACGCTGACTAAACTACATGTAGTTTATGCCCTGTGTGATAATTAGGCCACGTTCCCATTCGTCTAGAACGGCTGTTTAGGCGGGAAATAGCGCGCGTATTTCATTATAAACCGTGTGTTTTACCGGAACGGTTTAAAGGCCGCCGGAAGCTGCTTGCTCGCTAATAAAATTAGGTATTTACTTGTTATGGACGCTGTGTGTTGTCTACAGTTAGTGGTCCATTTCAATTTAAAAAAATTAGGACCTGTATTGAAAAAGTTTATTTAGGTGTTGTGATTTGTGACTTGTGATAAAATTGATAAATCCCAGAGTCGTGACTGCATCTCTGCTCTTAGGTTTATTGCTAATTTCAGACAATCTCCAGTAAAAGTAAGTCACGGTAAAATGAAATACAGTTTCGGCATTAATTATTCTAATTAAACTGTAATTCAAGGTGACATGTATTACAAGATAATGTCACAACACTATGGTCTGTAATTGCGATGCGCAGGATTTGAAACTCGTTTCGCTTTTATAACTTTATGTTCATACGGGTGATTTAAGATTAGTGGATTTCGGTGAAGGATATTCTGTTCACGTACGAATAAGCGAAATAAACGTAAACTCCCTTTGTAGCAATAAAGAAGACAAACTTAAACATTTTTCTCGGAAAGTCTATTCGGTAGTTGTAAGGGTTTTGTATAACAATTTATTAGATGTGTGGTCTTGGTTATCAATTAGTTTATGTTGCCGTTCCTCGCGCGTGTTATGCGAAGTGACTCAGATAATATAGTGCCGTCTGGCTGGTAGCTAGTACCTACCTATGTTTACATGTGTGGACGTGGAGTTCTAGTGAAAGGAGTCCTAATAACGCTCCCCTAGCTCCGACTGCCAGACGAAAAATGGCGCCAGACGTTGGCTTGTTTTTAATTAATGTTAAGTTTCGTATGTATTATTCTAATTTAAGTTTCTTTCTATACTTAATGCTTCTGAAGTTCTGACCATTAAACGAATTGGAACTGGGAGTGACATAGACATTTTTAATCGACCTTAAATTGTGCCTCTGTATAGGTCTTGTGGTCTGTTACAATAAAAGAGTTGCATATATATACTGCGTCTAACTATCCGTAATGGCGGATTTACGTTTATTTTTTGATTAAAGCCAGATAAGAACACCAAATCATTTTTAACTTTCAACATGTTGTCGGTTCCTGTGTCACCAAGCATGACATGTTCCACTCTCATGACTGATGACCGTAATCACGTTTTTACTAGTTTCATTGTACACCCCTAAAAGTCTTTATGGAGTGTTGATAAAGTTGAAATTTGATAAATTCGGTTGTAAATGAGATATTTGTGTAGTCAGTAATGCTCATGATTATGTTGATGTAGTTGGTATAGCTCGGGTTTATCATAGGAGTAATTATTTCCTCCTCATAATGGAGAATTCTCTGAAGTGGATGCAAATAGACAATGTTTACTTAGGCCTCTCTGTTGTGTAGTTTTCGCGCGGGAAAAGAGAATCAATATTTTATTATTTACTTTCTCAGATTAGGAATGTTTCAATGGGTTCTACTGTTTTTCTAATTACAGTTGTAATGCGTAACTTGATAATTTAGAAGAAAATTTCGCATTCAATAACTAAACTACAAAAAAGAAAGATGGGTGTGATCTTTCACTACCGAACTTTATTTGTCATTAATTGCGTTTTGCAGTGTTTGCAATTATGCATTTTTGTAACTAATTGTAATGTCAAAATTTTTTTTGTAAAATGTCGAATGTAAAAGTGTTGTGTTGGTTCAAAAGTTTTGACGTGATCACGTGATATTACAGAAAACTACTTTGTTCTGATTCCACGATATGCACTCGTATATTCAGACTGGGAGATAGTGAAGTGTACACCGCAGTTTGCACTTTTTATGCCAGTCGCAGTTGAAAGGGAGTCACCGCAGACCGGTGTATTCAATGCATGTCATTCCGCCGGAGTTTTATGAAAATGAGATGCTTGAAAGCAACGTTTTAGCTGCGTGGTACTTGCGGATGCTCGCTGTATGCTTTTGCTCGGTTTATTAATACTATGAGAAGTTCCTTACTCATTTTGACCTTAGAATTGCGATTAATGTATAATTACTTATTACTTAGTTGTTATCTATAACATTTCGTATTATACTTAAACAGTTATTATAATAGGTAGGTACTACACATATTGGTCGTAACTGTAGTCGTATATTTTAATGTTTATCAAACATCAGTCGCGGTAGGTAATTACGTATTTTATGTCTCAATTAAAGGAAAAAATGTTAGTTTACACTGCCGAAAAGTTATCGAAAATGTTCATTAGATATAATAATATATACTAACTATTACAGTTATTATTATCTAAGTAATAATTGAATAAATTGCGTGCGTGACTGCCTCGTTGGCCGAGTGGTCGCAAGTGCGACTGCCGAGCAAGGGGTCTCGGGTTCGATCCCGGGGCGGGCAAAGCATTACTGGGTTTTAAAAAAAAACTCAGTAGTAGCACGGAGTCTGGAATTGTGCCCGGTATATGGCAATAGGCTCACCCCCTATTACATGGGACTCGTAACATAAATAGTGAAAAAGTGGGTGTTACATTGTACAGTGGCATAATGTGCACCTCTGCCTACCCCTTCGGGATAAAAGGCGTGATGTTATGTGTAATTGAATAAAATAGGACAAGTGCTGTTGTTTCATTGATGGAAAATGGGTTATCGTATTGTTACAAAACTTTTATGATCAGATAAACAAACTTTAGTGGCCGGACGATAAGAGTACTTAAAATTAAAAGTGGTGTTAAGGGGTATATTTGTCTGCGTTGATTGGTGTTGGAAAACATAGAATAATAAACTCAAACTAAGCATTTATTTCAATCAAACCATAATTTGTTACTTTTTTTTTTTTTTTTTTTAAAAAAACGTTGCCCCACACTAGGATTTTCTCCTGTGTCGTGGGTGCGTTTACAAACATACAAGTTCACATACACAATGACACCCAGACCCGAAACAACAATTTGTGGATCACACAAAGTGTTGTCCCGTGCGGGAATCGAACCCGCGACACGTTGCACGGCAGCCGGTTGCCCAGCCACCACACCAACCGTGCAGTCGACTTTTGAAACGTCAACAAATACAATTCAATACTGTGAACCTTGGATAGATTTTTGTGTAATAGCAGTATAGTTTCTTGCACTGGGAAATTTATTTAGCCTCTCAAAAGGAGTGTCAAGCTTCGTTGACTTTTGGTCTTTAACAACCTGAGAGGGATTGACATATATAATGCCCTTACATATATAATGTTCATAGGTACATAGATGCACTTCAATTTTTATTCTTTTGTAAATTATACGTGAATAAAAATTTGTAATATGTGCTTAACTAAACCATTTCATAGTTTCATTTGGCTCGGATCTTGCACATAGTGAATGCCATTCAGTCGCTCGGACGTGCGGATAGTCTGAAAATGCAATAAGGGAGAAATCTTCCTCCACATTGCATTTTTTTGTGATAAAGGATTATGTAATGTGCATTCATAGTGGCATCGTTCCTCTGTTACATATGGATATTAGGTAAAAAGATGGCGTATTATGTGCCTTTGCTAACTTTTTCATAGTAAACACAACGCATGTGGGTGACGATTTTGAAAATCTTATTTTTGATTTGTAGAAGTTTTCTTTGGTTTTTATCAAATCTAATGTCTGATTGGTTCCATATTTCAAGTAGTGCTAAAGTATTAATTCAAGGTTTTTGCAAAGTGAGTAAATAACATAATGGTATTTAGAAGTTACGAGCTGTCAGTTGAAGTATCAATTTTGTAAAAAATCTAGTTAATACCAAATAGCAATGTAAATACATCCATCAAGTGTCTAGTTCTTAGCAGGAAAAACGAACTATAGGTAGTTAGGTACATCGACTATTTTCGCAGTAGAGCTGACTTCGTTGGAATAATCAAGATAGCGTTCAGAATGTCGAGTATGTAACAATTCTTAAGTGCGTACGCAAAACCGTGGGTAGTGTGTGCGTATTGTTCGATATTTCGATTTATTGTCCGAATGGATGCAGAAGTCATAATGAATAGTACAAGTACGTAAAAAGTGTACACAAACGATACAATAGCTCTTGTTAAACTACTCTATCCACTCACCAACTCTAAACGTACAAAAGGATAATGATAGTATTCGGTAATCCATTAACGGTTCTATGGTTTTGTTATGAAAGTTTTAATGGTTTCCTTCCGGCATCCTATACAATTTGATAGACATTTATGGCAAAAATTGGCGGTTTTGATAACTATACCTAGTTAGCTAGCTAACATAGATAAATAAATGTGGTTTTTGAAGCCAATTAAAAGTTCAATGTTTTTGCTAAAACTGTTGACAAAGAGGTGTCGGATCTTTTCATTGCAAACATTTCAGTACTGTAACTTTTTTATTTTTAGCATTTGGCACTGTAGAGAGTAGGTACTAAAACTATGTTCTCTTCGCCGTAGATAAATGACGATGCGGCAACAGTGAGGAGTCACCGCAACGATGCCGCCGCGACAATGAAACACTACTCGAGTGGCCCCACGACAGTCAATGACTACTTTATGATGTACCTGGCCAAATGGAAGCGCGCCGCTGTTGTCTTGCTCTTCGTTTGGATTGTCGTCACCTACCTGGTTATATCTCCACTCAGGTACGTCTACAAACATATTGTAATTTTTTTTCACAAAAAAGGTAAAAAAAATGTGGTTAATGTAGCACGTAAGATTTTTGTAACTATTAATTTTGGCTGTAAAATAAAAGAAAATGTAATTGTCAATGACAAGTGCACGGACAAGAGTCCGTGGAGAAAAAGAAATGTAATATAATAAAAAAAAACATATTGTAATATGACATTTTTGACAGCAGCTTCGTAGAACTAATGTCAAAAGTAGATCTTGAACTGTCAAACACCAAGCGGTCACCGGTGACCGCAACCTATTGTTCTATAATTGTGTCTATAATGACAGTACATACTCGACGAGTTAATGTAAAGATTTTGGATTGAGATTGGTTATGGAAATCGGCAGTATGTCTGACGTGGGCAGAGAGGAAATTCTCGATACATCTCCACTACATATACAACACTAAGGAACCACATAGATCGTGCGATGTATGAATATATTCTTTCGGGTAGATGTCCTAATTTTGATTCATTCATCACCTTTCTGCCCTTATCCTAAGTTACTATGCGTCCTAAGCGTCAACTGTTTTTCTTCTTCTTCCATTCTCCTATTAAACGTTATCCTATCAGAATCCCCGTGTTCCGCCATATATTTATGGTATCAAAATAATCACATGTCTTCTTCAATACAATTTTAATTGTTTTTTTATTAAGCCTTTCTTGGATTTAACTTTCTGTTTTTTTTTGTATTACAGCTTAGATGATCGGTAAGCTTTACTTTCTTAGTCTAGTGTGCCGTTATATTTATTTGTATTGTTTCGTCTTACTTTTGGTTCGCCTTTTTCCGTACAGCTGTTACTTCACTGTCCTGTTACACAATCAACTGAATTAGTAAAATATTCCTCCACGGATCATAGATTATTGTATATTTGAACTGTGTAGGCCAATTTCACAAATGCAATCTTTGTAAATAGAACAGTGCACCAAATGAAACACCAAAATGCTTGAAAACCTTTTAAAAATGTCATCTCACAGTCACATGTTTGCTTAGGAGGACAAGGTTTTAAGCTACGAGGCACAGTATCAGACACTATGCCAATATTAAATACGGCTATTGCGCACATTTATTGATCTAGCACATTCGCGATTGAAACAAAAAATTTACAAAAACGATTCTTTCAGATGCAATGGAAACCAAGATGAGGCATCAGAATTCCAAGAGAGGTTAAAAAAGGTGTCGTCACAACTGGAGACGTTGAGGCAACAACATAGTAATCTCATATCACAAATAAAGAAGTCCTCTAGGTAAGATATTTAATGTATCATGTTTTTAATTTGTAATATTAAATCCTTAATTCCATTGGTTTCTGAATCCTGTGTCTAGTTACGTTTTAAAAAGTTAAATTCAGTTGTCAAAGTTGTGACGTGTTGATACAGCAATCGATAGATAAAATGTAACTCATTGAAAAAGTGTAAACATATTCTTGATAGATTTCATTGTCTTCTTAATAGGAATCTGTATTTATAAACAATCCAATTATTTTACTAAAGAATGAACCCAATAGAAAATATTATTGAATTGCTACTTACCAATAGTTCTGCATCTGTTAACTGTTATGTTCTTTTCTAGCCTCAATGGTAACCTAAAGGACATAGACACAGGGTCCCTGTTCCTAGACGGGGTCCAGGGACCCACAGAAGACTATGAGAATCTCAGAAGGAGGATATACTCCAATACTAAGGAGCTATGGTACTATGTACACCACGAGCTCACTAAGGTGATACAAGAAGATAATAAAGCTGAGAAGATACAGACAATATTGGACCAAATTGGTGAAAGGAAAAGGTAGGTTTTTGTTTAATTTTCTCACTTAGTGTTAATTCTATTCGTTTCGAGTTTTGTTAGACATGATTTTAATGAGTTTTGGGATAGATGAGACCCTAGAGTCTTTTGCCGCAATAAAAAGTTTTAGATGTTTATAAAACTTGTACTGGCGTAACCGAAGCTGTAAACAAAACTAGTCAATTCTAAAGCTATCGGCATCGACACAGGATATGACACAACCACGATATCCTTGCACAATTTAGAGAACTATTTTTGTCTTTTCAAGGTTTCGTAACAAAAACGTTAATTAAATATAACTTGTTACAATAATAGAAATCCATACCTCGTTGGTCGAATAAGCAAGAGATTTCGTACTTGATGAATACAAAGAATAACTGACTTTTATTGATAATTTATGGTAAATACTTCATAGTAACGGGGTCTGAGTTTTGTGGCCAGTATAATGCTTGACCTTATTACATAGAACTATTATTTAATTATTGGAATAACTTTTTTTAAGGGGGGAATATCATCGTATGGCTTCTCCCGCCTGAGTGAGGCAGGAGGGAGTGTAAGACTCTTACTGACTAAAACCACCCCGTTCCTACTCATGCACTTCGAGCCGGAGCCCCGGTAACCCGTTAGGTTCTCCGCGGCTCCGTATTGGCATCAGCCCTATTGGACCCCATCCGTGGTTGTATAGGAATAATTTGGGTGCTTCATTCAATGTAATGTGCACATCAGCCTGTCTGCTTCTTCGCGGAATAGAAGGTGTGATGTTATATTATGTATGATGTAATATCAAACACGTTCAAAGTTTCCTTACAAATATTATATGTTATATAGAAATTTTTATATATATATACATATGTATAGAAATGGAGTAACGTTATGCAACAATATATTATATAATATATTTGATACGGTTATAAAAACTTTAGGTATTTAACAACCGGCTCCGGCTCCATAGATTGTGAATTCTAATCGTTCACTTTTATTAGATTGGTTGTATTTAAGAATGTGGCTTTATTATTTTATCTTGCGAAGATTCGGACCTCGATTTTGTGTAGGTTTATTTTTATTGTAATTTTTAACTCTGCTACTTAATAATGCCTACGATTTTTAGTAACATCTGGTCATACAACCGTGGTGGTAAAAATGAGGTGACGATGTATATAATATATGTATAAGTAAATAATCCGTCACTTTATTAACAATTGCGGTCGAATGGAGGTCGAAATGTGATCGAAACGTGTTTCTTTTTTAGGTTATACACCAATTACGTGCAATGTAGGTACGCCTTTGCCCTTAATTTCTCTCTTATGCGCACGCGCAAACTTATACAAGTATTCTGCTCATATGTTCATAAATTTAAAGAGAATTTTATTTGTAATTTTTAATTTTTGTCGACAACTATGCTATTTAATTTTATAATAAATATTAAATTACTGTGAATGATGAATTACTTACGATATTACTGTATCGTATACCTTACCTCAATAGTTACTACTATTAAGGAATTCATCTTCAATAGAACAAGGACACTTGAAATAAAATACAGTTTTTCCTTGCCTTTGTGTTGCGATTACAAAATTAAACAACTTTACCTACTCTTTTATAATCAGCAAGATAGGTATAAAGTTTGGGATAAAAATATACCAATAGGAAATGTTTTTTTCTAATTAATTAAATTTCCTAATTTAAACGTTAACGTTCCTTATTATACGTTCCTACGTATAATAGGAAAATGATGTAGGTAATATTAATTCAAAATGTTACCTGTTCATAAAACTACTACATGGCTATTTCCAAACGCGTTCTCGAATTATGCTCGTAGTATCCTACTAATATTATAAATGCGATAGTTTATATGTTTGTTTGTTTTTTACTCCTTCGCGTCAAACCCATGGAAGGGGCCGAATGAAATTTAGAATAGGGGTGGTTTAACTCGTCGAGTACCGTCATTATAGACACAATTATAGAACAATAGGTTGCGGTCACCGGTGACCGCTTGGTGTTTGACATTTTAATGTCTGGAATAACACATAGGCTTTTTATCCCGCATGAACGCGTACTAAGCCGTTGGCAGAAGCTAGTGCATTCACATAATCTATAAGCTGTTATATTATGGACCTAGTAACAGGCTGTCCTTACCATAAATAACCCCATCTAACAAATCTCACCTGTACGAAGATTGGCATAGTGATGAGATTCGTTTGAAATCAATTACTATATTGATCACACGGCCGCGCCGTACTCAGATCCCATTGGTACCAATAAATTTTCGGCTATAATTTGTGGTCTACTGCTTATCCGGTGATATTATTTCGGAATTGGATAAATACAACGATCAGCATTTAGATAAACAAACATTTGTGTCGATATTTGAGAGTTATGATGGAAAAACAAAAAAAAAATAAATAGAACATGATTACATGAATACCTGATTTTGAACTAGGGTTTGTCCTAAAAGTATCATTTAGGTACTTGTTTTACGGGGGTATTGCTCAAAAGGCGCCTAGATTTTGGGAAAAGTCTAGACAGTGTGGGATTCTTACACCATGGTTGGTGGCCACCATCAGCACCTTAAGACCACTAGTAATCTAGTTATAGACAGTACCCTCATAAAACTTTAATTGTGAATTCCCTTCTTCCCCATGAAAGAGGTCTTCCTATGTCACTTGGACATCTTCTAGCTTTGTCCGGTAATTATAGCATTTCATTAATTGTGTTTAAACATGTCTACAGGGTGTATCCGTAAAAACGCTAGCCGACAGGCGATGGTAACAAATAAGTTTTATTTTCATAAAGTGAGGGAAGTATATTATTATGTTTCTTTTATGCAGTAATAGTTGTACACCTGTTCAAGGCTGATGTTGCACGGATCACACAAAAACGATTAAAATTATAAAAAAAAATCTTTTTATTTTCGTTTCGGGAGCATTCCATTGACATCTGTATAACTGCACTAAATATAAATTGAATATGTATACAGGAATGCCCTCAGATATTTTATTTCCATTTAATAGTTGTGGCGGGCATAAAGTTGGCTGGCAACTTTTAATGGCCCCGTTGTAAAGTTCCACTGTAGATACAAATGTATAGTATGAGTATGTATACCGAACTCGTTTCTAATTCCATTATACTCGTAATTATAACCATACTTTAATTGCTCTTTGATAGTTTGGATACTAAACTTTCCGGTTTATCTCATAGGCTGAGTATGTAGCTGGTACCAGAACTTTGTTCTTGGATTTTAAAGAAGATTATGCACTTATAAGCTAGACTTGTTCCGATTATCAGGATTTAGATTTTATTCCGTAATTGGGACTATATTGCGGTGACTGGGCTTCTCCCAGTTGTGTCCGTGTCTCTTTTTGTGCCTTTAGGCTTAATTCATCCTGTCTCCTGCAGTAATTCACCGAGGGCAGTGGAAACTACTCGCTTTTTACGTCTTCTCTGTTAATATCTTCTCATTTATTTCGTTGCGGGAACCTAGAGAGTTACTCATGTATCTGGGACTCGCCGGACTTCAGTGCTCCGGTGTTTTCATGGTTGTATCTATTGTAGATCCTGGCAAGAATCGCAACGGTTCTGGAAGGTTTTATCGGGCTTGTCCCTTAAAAAATATTATTATTACCAAAAACTATCGACTTTATTATAGATAACTTGTTTCGGAATACTGCAATATTTTTGCTGATATAGGCATCAGATTCCAGATTTCACGTAGTTCAGGTTTTTAAGTGCCAACGTAGCAAAGTGGATTCATTGATAGGCGTAAATACCACGTGAAGACTGTAGTCATCCTATTAAATCAACAAATTTTATCTTACAGCGAACAATATGTGGATTACACAATTACACGTAATCTAAGTTATATTAACTGGAAAATAGGCAAGTAATTGAAAGATTCCTTAACTACGAAAGCTATGAAATGGGACATTGAACGCAGTGACCTTTAAATGGTCATTTTGATCCGAATGTAGATGAAATTAATCGTTTAATTTGTATAAACAAACTGGTGACTCACATGTTGTCAAGGTCTGCCTAACAAGCGCACGCTTGTGCATATTGTCGAGTTGATAGAATGAAATATTCATTGTTGTCAGCTCTTCCTTTGGATAATCTTATCTGCCATAACTTTAATTCGTGTCATATTTGTGTTCAACGGGCGTTCAGTCTTTTTAGTGGTTAATCGTAAATTCAAGTGCCAAGTACAATGCCTCGAGGTCAACCTTAGGTCGAAATACTTAAGATTCAAAAACAAATGACAACAAGTGGATCTCCACAAGTTATTTTCCTTATGAATAATCCTTTTGACGACTAATGTTTTAATTATTTCTAAGCAAACTCCAAAATTTTTATGCATTTAAATCAATTGCTTTAGAATTTGGGAGACATCTATCGCAAATCTAGTTGTGATACGTTAGCTCAGGACGACAGATGTAGTGACGTGTCTAGTAGTTCGTCCTTGATGACACATAGTACACACACTTGAATACAATAAATAGAGATAACGTATTATCAAGAACTTCCTCAAGTCTAGCTGGGGTTGTAGTTCTTTATAAGGTAAATTGTCTCGTTGCTCCCAATCGTCAAGCGCGACTGCGGAAAAAGGTTAGTTGGTTTCGTTTTCCGGGTTGGGCAAAATGGATTGTTGGGTTTTTTCGATATTCTGCTATTCTCGGAGTCTAGAGAATAGTGGTCAGTGTATGGTATGGTATAGGGTACCCTCTTGTGAAATGGGTCACAAATACAGTCATACATACAAATTGAATTCTAAAGCTCTGCTGTTCTTAATTTTAGGAATTTATTCCTTTTCTTCCAGATCGCTGCTCTCGGACCAGCAATCGTTACCAGAGCTGGACGGGTACAATGAGTGGAGGCAGGCGGAGGCAGCTAACGTCAGCGACCTGGTGCAAAGGCGGCTCCATTACCTACAGAACCCGCCTGACTGCAAGGACGCTAGAAAACTCATATGTAACTTGAATAAGGTATGTTTTAGGTAATAATTTATTATTGCCAATAACCAACTTGCATTATAGTACGAACCTGTTTGTTGTACAAACCAAAACTTAATAACCGTATTTCGGTTTTATTTATTTTTTCTTTAAAAGTAGTTTTATTTAATTTTAGGGATTTCTAACTTTCCGCTTGCACAATTTTCCATTACAATTGTTCTATGGTAATTCTATTGTGTGTATGTATTTAGTTTACTGACTCCTAAATAGCTGCATCGATAAGACGAAAATACTTCGCGATATTTGGCTGTCTATTTGATAATTCTGCTATTTGACCCGCTAGTCGTCTAAAATATCCGTCCTTCTATGAACCTGCTACTTCTAATACAAATATTTTACCAGATTGGGCTTCTATTAAAATATTATGAATACGAAAATAACTGTTTGTATTGATTTTTCGCGGCTAAGCTTTCGATATGTGTGTGACAGTCTCGTCTCTGAGGCCATCAGATAATCTTTTTATCCGTGACATCAAAGTGAATAAGGTCCTAAAGATAGATTGTATCGCGCGATAACAATTTACCGCTTTGGTTAATGCCGTGGGCGACAATTAACGTTATTTTCAGCTTAATGAGATTAGCGTGTGCAATGTAGGTAATAGAATTTGCGGCGCAATTAGAAAGTTGTCGTGTAATGATATCAAAGGACAGATATAATTATATAGAACATGTTGATTATGTTCAACAATACACAAGCAATATAGAATAGGTAGAGGTTTACATTAAATTCAGAAAAACTAAAACCCTTACATGTGATATAAGAACTTTCGCATTGCATGGTTTCGACTTCATCACTACATACTATAAAACAAAGTCGCTATCCGCTCTCTGTCTGTCCCTATGTAGGTATGCTTAGATCTTTAAAACTACGCAACGGATTTTGATGCGGTTTTTTGTAATAGATAGAGAGATTCTTAAGGAAGGTATATATGTATAAGACATGCATATTGCACCCGTGCGAAGCCGGGGCGGGTCGCTAGTTAAGTATAAGCTTGTTGTTTTTCAATCTGGTTTCAAGATACCATAAAATTATATGAACCATCTACAATCTACATAGCATATATCATAATTATGTATATTGTGTTAGTCGGTTTCCTATTGTTAGTTTTGTACCGCAATATGTTTATATGTTAAACAGTTTGCCATCTGTTCCCATCAATCTCAATAAGTCCTGCAGTCTGGTCTATATTTAGCCGCGGGAACTTTGGGCTTAGGCAGTGATTTCGCGACTGTTTTGTGAATCGTAAATGGACGTTTTAAATGCTCCGTAGTTAATATGGAAACTTTAATGGGTTTATGTTTTGTGTTCTGCATTGAACTTTTTGGTGAAGTCTTTGTATACATCACTACATAGTATAAAACAAAGTAGCTATACGCCGTCTGTCTGTCCCTATGTATGCTTAGATCTTTAAAACTACGCAACGGACTTTGATGCGATTTTTTAATAGATAGAGTAATTTTTAAGGAAGGTTTATATGTAAATATAATACATGCCTATTACACCCGTGCGAATCCAGGGCAGGTCGCTAGTCTCGATATAAGTCTCTCCATGAATTTATCATAACACCAAATTGGTCTTCGGTCTGTTGATTTTATTTTGTGAGATGAATTAATAAATGAAGATTTCATTATAACATTAGTTCATGTAGGCACTTGATTTTAAAACTGGGAAATCGTCACATCCTACACCTATTTTTGTATTGGAATATTTTTGAACAACCCTAGTACAATAACTATAAAATGAAATATGTATGGGAATATTATCATCTAGGTTATTAATTATACAGCTGCATGCGTTATCGCCTTCAATATCGGTCAAGTTAACACGCCACGTGCCATTTCATGGAATCCACACGCAAAACATGAGTTCACAAATGACATACAAATCATACACACATAAACGTCAGAGTGAGAGATAGGCGGAACAACTATCTCTTTGATGTGCGGAATGTCCGTTCATTCATCTCTGTGTGACAGGCCTTTGCCCTGTTATGAGTCAATTCGCGAATATAAAAAGAACATGTCAGGCTTGTCAGTTGTTGTCTATTCTAATTCCACTGCCCACCTGGTGGCATCAATCTTCGGAGCCCTACAAACCCTGCACTATAATTAGTTCGCGGACAAACGCACCGGTCTCCATCCGTCAGCGCCCCGTGAGCCCGTGACACGCGCGTACGCATCCGTCATTAGGTCATTGACACCGTTACGTTTTGTTTGCTTTACGTACAAGCGCTAAGTAGGTGCTGACTTCTGGAAGTTGATTAGTATATCTTGATATTATTGTATGATGTGTATTTAACGGACTTTCGACAGTCTGGCTCTCAATCAACACTCAAATTGAATAGTTCCACTCTACATTCGTCTTTATTTCGTAAGCAGAGTTGTTTTTCAATACATAAATGTGCAATTGATTCTCAATTGGTTATGTTTTGATTTCAATTTCCTAGAGAAAAATATTTTATTGAGTTTCAGGAGGACCGTAAACACAGACCGAACTAATTCAAATACTGTAGAAAAATAGCAACAATGTGTAATTGTTTTCACGAACATGCCATTTGCTTTAAAGCGTCAGTCGTAACAAATAAAAACGACAAAAATCAACTGATAAAAATGCAAAGAAAGTTGATAAAAATAACTACGAGTGCTTTAAACTAGCATTAGTTTGCACGTGTAACGGATAACAGAATTGCATAGTTATTCGTTATTTGGTAACCGGTTTTATATGTTAAATAACATCATGTTTTATAGCCTGTAGATAAAACGAGTAATGCAAACCAAAAAAAAAATCAATTGTAACCAATAGTTCCGAAGAATATACGTGTTTTAATAAGCAAATAAACATCCTCTTCAGGTTTTTAATAACACTATGTAAGAGTAGAAAAAATAATCATCAACAGCCTATAAATTTCAACTGCTGAGCAAAGCCGTTTCTCACACGGAGAAGGTTTGATCATTAATCACCACACTTGCTAAAGGGGGCGATTACAAACTTACAATTAGAAATTATAAGCCCAGGTTTCCTCACGAAGTTTTCTTTCACCGTTTATAAGTGGTGTCTAGATAATTTTAGAAAGTACATATAACTCGGAAAAAGTCAAATTGGTACTTGCCATTGATAGGTTTCGAAGCCCCCCATGCATGAGAAGCGGGCGTCTTAAACTTCTGACCCACCACGAAAAACAAATACTTAATACGTAAAGAATTTGTTATAGAAATAGAATTGACATGGCTTTTGTAGCATTACATTACTATTATATGTTTATCTCAAAAGGAAAATACGTGCATTATTGTATATATACAGTATATGTAATGTATAGTACAAGTTATTACCTACAACTGTTTCTAGGCTCTATCAATGAGTAATTGAGTACCTAGTAAAACGAATAATATAACAAATTTACCTACAATTTCTTTTCAAACTAGTCTATGTTTTATTTTCTTATATAGTTGTGTATTAGCCCTTAATTTATTTAAATATTCGGCTTGTTAACGTAAAGTATTCGAGAAAATGCTCTACCAGTTTCAACTCATATTGGGTCTCATATTCATGAGCAAAGTGCTATTGCATTGGCGAAGAAATTTTCATTTGCAGTATTTTTTAACTGAATTCCCAAAAAAGGAGGAGGTTCGCAATTCATCTGTATGTTTTATTTGGAGGAACACTTTCTTAGTCCAAAATCGAATGAATTTTGAATTTTGAATTTTGAAGTTATAGAACGGAATTGATTGTTTATGAAGTTAGTAACACATATTTTCTAAATTACGTTCATGTATATCGAATTATCAATCAAAACTTAGCCACGTAGACTTAATAAGATTCAGCGTGTTTTATAATAATGTGTGGCCCGGAACGAAATCAGTTTGAACTCTGTTATCGTACGAACAAGGTCGAGAGTTGAATTATCTAATATTGTGATTTGACACCCAGCAACTGGGCAGCTACACGAGGGCAGTTCTACAATTGCATTATCACTTTATCAACATAGAATAGTTATTAATTAAATAATTTAATGTCTGTTCACTGCTTTGCTTGTGCGTATAGTATTGTTCAGAATGAATTGTTCGGGGAATGTGGCTTTCCACCTGCCTAAAAAGGTTGATAATTCAACGTATCGTGTAACGTTTTTTTTAAATCTTTATTTAGTAAGGAGGTTTTATCTAAATGAATATGTCAACCCCATTATACCAAATCTTAAATTGTCACTTTCTAACTTTAAATTGTCATAGTTCTTCAATAGATTTTTGACTTTATTGGAAAAGAGTTAAGGTTCTATAATAACTATCGTGAGACCAGCTGAATTAACTAAAAAATATGAGTCACTCACGTAAATGTACTAGAAATATCGTCGCGACCGCGCACGCATGAGGAAAAATCCCTCTGTGACTCGAAACTAATAGAGCTTTTCTCAGTATATATATACGTACGTGAGTTAATCATTATTTTTAGTTGAAATTCTACTAAAGGTTGCGATAGATTGTGGTGCTTGTATCTTATGGTATGCTTGTATTATTAGTCCGACGTGATGAAGAGCGAGCATAATACAATAGCAAGTACTTACTAAGTACTATTTCAAACGCATTACTAAGAATCTTAGTTACAAATCTAATCTAAGTATAGGTTAATACAAAGTTGCTTTAGTTGTTCCGACGGCGACCATAACTAACTATATACTACTGTTATTCTACTTTTAGTGTCAACAAAAGCTAAAAGACAAGCTGTCTGTACAAGTAATGTAACAATGAAATAAGTATTGCGTGTAACTTATACATTAAATATTAATATGTAAACGTTCGATACGCTTTCTATTGTATGGCCGCGTTTTCAGAGTGTCTGTCTTTATTTTTATTACAACAGTATATGTAAGTTGAACATTGTAAAACCTGAAATTCGATAGCTTTTGGTAGCTAAATACATCATCAGTTTATCAGGAAGGTATGACTAACGTATTTTAAGTGATCATTTGCGTTTGTGTGTAAGAGAAAACTTCGCTAGTTGCTACTACTTCGAACAACAGATTCCGAAAAAAGAAAACAATAACCATTAAATAGTGCCTGAAAGAGTACACTTAAGCACAAATAATAAATAACATTAATATCTATAAATACATGATGAGACAATACAGTACATAAGTATTAGACGACGCTTAAGTAAAATAATTCTTAGTATGAATAAGCTAAAATATATGTATGAGAGGCCTCAAGCCAATCATAGCGCCGATGACATGTTTCTTTACACACTGTGTGTACTTAGGCATATAATTTCATCTCAGAGCGCATATCGATATACAACCGTGAAATGAGATTCTTACGCTTTGAAAATTAAGGTTGATAACCAAGTCAATTTTCACGTCTCAAGGAGATAGGAATTCAGGCGTAAGTCTCGTGGTAATTCTAGTTATTTTGGCAACATTGCGCGCAAAAACTTCGACAATCTGGAGAAGCTGGTGGTGGCTGGTCAGGTTAACGGGATAAGACCTCGCGGTCGTCCACCCATTGACTGCATGTTGTAAAGACCTCACAGGTCTGGCGGCTCCACAAGCTAAAAAGGTTATAGAGGACTGGGGCGCTTGGAGGTCGTACGTCAAGTGCAGTGACGCGTGCACTATAGACTAGACACGATCTTCAATAATGAAGAGAACGAATAATAAGTATGATCTTATATCTGATCACCTAGTCGAGCTCCTAGTTGATGTTCGTTAATGATAGTGTGATAGTTGCCAAGCTTATAAGCTTAGAGCAGAGAGGAGGATATTTTATGATTGATGAATATTTTTGAACTACTAATATAAGTTGGGACTGACTCAAGAAAGGGAAAGACTGCCTCATTGTCCGAGTGGTCGCAAGTGCGACTGCCGGGCAAGGGGTCTCGGGTTTCGACTCCCGGGTCGGGCAAAGTATTACTGGGTTTTTCAAAAAATTCCCAGTAGTAGCACGGAGTCTGGAATTGTGGCCGGTATATGGCAATAGGCTCACCCCCTATTACATGGGACTCATAACATAAATAGTGAAAAGTGGGTGTTATATTGTACAGTGGCATAATATACACCTCTGCCTACCCCTTCGGGGATAAAAGGCGTGATGTTATGTTAAGATAAGTTGGGAGAAATAAAAAATGTCGGAAAATATTAAATACCATACATTGGTATTTGGAAAGTTTTGAAAGCTGTATTGAAGTCATGAATGTTCGTGACAGTCAAAAGGTCATCATGGGGAGCTTGGATAATATGCAAACACGCACATGTTTACATGCACACATAGTTATAGACATAAATACATACATACATACATAGGTGATTTAGGAACTTGTTAGTCCTAGGTATTAGGAACAATTATAGTTTTTACCATCGTTTTTATTTAACGCTAAATTTTACTAATAATATAAAAACATACAACCTAATCGTTGACACTAGAATTACCCCAAAATTGGGTTTCCATCTGGGTTTTAACCAATAAAATTAAAAAAGATTTTCCCATATTTACAATAATAATATTATTGACCGAATACTTGCATAAACAGATACATGAGTTACATTAACATACAATTATTGTTGTTTGGGAAATTACACTCATGTGTTATTTGTTTTTTCGTTCAACAACCTTAGGAAAGTCCACTGCTTTGATGACAGACGTGTTTATTTCCGAATGTTATTAGATGTTGGGATATTGACATACACCTGTTAGCACCTACTCGCCATAGCTAGGGAAGATGGTTACGCCACGCTGCCCTAGTTCACGATACACCGCTAAATGGTAGCGTTTACACTGTTTACATTACTTTGGATAGAGGTGAAAGATCTCTGGAAGGTTGTGGTGATCTGATTGAGTAGATTATTAATATTTCTTTGTGTGGATTTTTTTTGAGTTTCCAAAAATATAGTGTTTTATAAGTTCAATATTATTGAGTTCAAGTTAGTTGAATATTATATTAGGTTAAAATTTGTAAAGTTTATTTATAGACTGCCTCGTTGGCCGGGTGGTCGCAAGTGCGACTGTCGGGCAAGGGGTCTCGAGTTCGATTTTCGGGTCGGGCAAAGTATTACTGTTTTTTTTTTTAAATCTCAGTAGTAACACGGAGTCTGGATATGTGGCTGGTATATGGCAATAGGCTCACCCCCTATTACATGGGACCCGTAACATAAATAGTGAAAAGCATTGTACAGTGGCATTAAGTGCCGTAATGTGCACCTCTGCCTACTCCTTTAGGGATAAAAGGCGTGATGTGATAGCTATGTGTACCTAAAAGTTTATTTACCTTATTGTTTTTTTTATTCGCAGGGTTGCGGCTTCGGTTGCCAGTTACACCACATAGTATACTGCCTCATTTTCGCGTATGCAACGGAACGCACCCTCATACTCAACTCGAAAGGATGGAGGTACAACAACAAGGGCTGGGAGTATGTCTTCATGCCCATATCTGACACCTGCACCAGCGCATACGATGACAAAGTTGTTATGTGGCCAGGTAGATATCACATCTTTTATCAATAACTGTACTTTATTATGAGGATAGGAAAATTAACATAATTAACTGACTCCTCTCACCCTGAGTGAAGTGGGTGGGTGTCAAACTCTTACTGACTAAAAATGACCCCGTCTAACAACGGTAACTGTCTGCAACCCCGGTCAGGTCGGCCCTAGTGAGCCCCACATGTGGACGTGTGGACCGATAACTACACTTGGCATGCGTATTTGGTCAAATGTTTGTCACATACATTGCTAAATTTTTAATCTATTAGGAAGTTCTTCATCAGATGTACATTACGTAAGTCATTTATAAATATTTCGTCGAAAATGTAACATCTATATTCTATATCTATATCTATATATATATATAAAAGAAAGTCGTGTTAGTTACACTATTTATAACTCAAGAACGATTACATTGATTTGACTAAAAATTTGTGGGGAGATAGCTTAGAACCAGGAGACGGACATAGGATACTTTTTATAGAATACTTTTTTTTTTACTTTTTACCATAAATCACGAACGGGAACGGGGGGAAAATGGGATTCCGCGTACGAAGTCGCGGGCAGAAGCTAGTTATTATAAAAGAGTACCTAACACAAATGTTGTGCTAAATTAATGTGTCAAGTGTAGTGAGCAGGTTTCCTAGGTTAAGTCGACCAGGAACATAATAATCCTTTAAGGAATATAATAAGTCCTTAACAAGAGGCCTTAGTACGAGTTTGTTTTAAGTTTAAAGTAATCGTAACGAGTACACGTTCGGCGCTCTGAGGCCTTAGTACGAGTTTCATTTTCGTTTAAAGTATTCGAAACGAGTATGCGTTCGGCACTCTGATTGGCCGGCACCAACGAAGCAACCAATCACTGCGCCGAACGCGTACTCGTTACGATTACTTTAAACTTAAAATGAACTCGTACTAAGGTCTCTGATTGGCCGGCGCCAATGAACCAACCGAAATACTTACGTACGAATACTTACTTATACTTATAATACTTACGTACGTAAACGTTACGAATACTTTAAACGTAAATGAAACTCGTACTAAGGCCTCCTGATCCTTCGTAATGAAGGAAAATTAACGAATTGATTGGGTGAAATTATGATACCTTTTTTATCTTTTAACCATTGTATGGTTGTAACAAAAATAATAATGTAATAATGTACTCTAACATAGTCTGTTTCATATTCACGTTTTAGTTTTTTTATTACGTTTCAGAAATGGATAAAAAATACTCGGGTGAAGGTACTACGCTTTTCTTTATTTTTGCTTTAGTTCATATAGTTTCAATAAGATCATATTTTCTGAAGAAACTTAGCTATCGAACTAAGACCATATTTCTTTTTAAAGACACATCTCGCAGTATCAGTTGTCAGTATAATTATTCCTGCCATAATTAAACTCAAAGTAATAAGGGTAGATGACTATTTTTCATTTTAATGTCAGTTTGGTAGATTATTCAAAATCATTGGACACGTATTTTTTATTTTCTTACGGACACAGATACTTTCGACAATAATATTGATTTGAAATATCGCGTGACGCCACGTTTGTGTACGTTTTATACTCAAAAGTGACTTAGTTAGCCCCCACTCCTAAACTTTGATTTGTTTTATCTAAGTATTGTTTTATTATAAGACAAAATAAAAAAATACGTGTCTAAAATTTTTCCATTACATAATTGACGGAATAATTACATTTTTAATTTTCATACCCTGCCATCATCCCTATTTTATGTTTATACCAATAGCTTCAACATGTCATTCATTAATCTATTGCATCTTTATTTCAGATCATACACGTAATCATGTTTCTTTATATACCTTAAGTTAAAGTAACTACAACAATATAAACCTATATACATATATATTAAAGAAAGTCGTGTTAGTTACACTATTAATATGATACAAATTCGAAGTCGCGGGCAGAAGCAAATAGTCGACCATAAGTCGACCACAAAAATGAGTATTTTTTTATGAATAAAAACGTTACGAAATTTATATTTCAGCGAAAGATCTTTTACTTACCCTTGTAAAGAAAGGAGCCAAGGTATTGAACCTTAGGAAATGTACGTACTTGATCATTCCACTACTGTTTCAGAAATGTATGGTGTAGACGCATATAGTGGAGTTTAAGTTGTACATACGATTATTACGTATAAGTATTTGTTGAAACATCATTAGAATCTTACAATTATTTTAACATAATTATACGTAGGTATAGTTATCTTCATTCTTCATTCAATAATGCTAGTTTTATATTATAACGACAGAAGGTATAAACTGAATTTTTTTTCTTATTTTCGAGATAAAACAAGATTGACAGTCAAAGAGTTTTTGATAGACAACGAGGCGAGCTACGGGGAGTTCATAGAAAGCCTTGTTCTTACTCAACAAACACAGGCTCCAGCGTGTAATTGTATACATTATTTTATTTTAGTATTGGATTGTGCGGTCTCGTTTGCATTATGCTTGTCTCAAGTACTCAAGTCTGATTGATCGATAAGTCCAGTGGCAATAGTCGCCGAAATAAAAAGTTTCTATTGATTGAGAATTGACATCTGATTGACAGAATACAACAGTCAGTACAAACATCGGTATAGGGTGCTGTATTCGTTAGTGGCGCCCTCTAATCGTCGCAAAAATAAAAGCTGTCATCAGCAATACTTTTATTAAATGTTCATTAACGTTTGATTTTTTATATGCTAGATATGCGCGGAATATGTCTTAAGAAACGTGTAACTATATTCGAAGAATGTCCCGAGGATATGCAACGGGTCCCTGCACCAGTAGACTGGCTATGTAAACTTTTTAATATAATTATGTATTATTCTGGGATGTATGTAAAGGGGAACTGATGTGAAAACGAGGCCTCGTAGTTATGCGAGGTGATAGATATGTATATTCTTCATACTTTATTTTTGATGTGGTCTTTAAAAAGGTTAACCTTTAGAGGGGGGGGGGAACCAGAGATTGTGTTCGTTTATTACCACACTAGAACGACGGTGGCCTCACCACTATTAGTACACCATAAGGTGGAAATATGGCCATCTAAATCGACTTCGGAGTTCTCATGACCTGCTCGGCATATCCTTATAGGATTTACTCCAGCCAAGTTAAAGGCAGCGTACCATTAACTGATCAATCCCCAAGTCGTCACCGGTGACCGCTCTCTACGAACTCCATTATAGACCTTCTTTCCGATGTTTAGAGACTACTTTTGTATAAAAAAAATTCCTTCCTTCATCAAACAAGCACACAAACTCGTACACAGAAATTGTCTTTTACACCAATAGAAACAATGTTGAGTTTCGATTATACACGTCACAAGCATAATGCTAATGGGGTTTCATTGAAACATCGAGTTGCTGAAGTAGTTGTGACTTACTTGTCAAATGAAAATAATATGTTATCCTATCTGTGAATATTTCTTGTAGATGACGCAATCTTTTCTCATGTTAATATCATAATACTGTGACCTTGAACAATGAATTATTCGTATGTCTATTAAACAATTAAGTATAGTCGTATGTCTATTAAACAATTAAGTATATCTGAGTAATGATACAAATTTGTTTTATATACCTACATATATATAAACAATTTAAAAGTATCGTATAAATTGGGTACTTTCCTTAATAAAAAAAAAAATATTATTTCGACTGTTCTTTATAACCAACTTAATTTTAATATTTTTCCACCAAATTTATAAGAAATAAGTATTGGGTTTAACGCCTAAAAAACGTGACATCACAATACACAATCTCGTACAAAACTCATAGAGAACTGTCGTTTTGGACAGTTCGTAAAAAGTGTTGAATTTTACTAGTTGGCAAGTACTTACCTACCTAGTAATTGTGCTTCTTCAGTGCGCTCTAAATATTGCATTAAAATACGTACAAAAACTTTGAAATTGAATAAGTTTGTCCTAGCAAATTGGATATAACTAATTAACCTTGTCGTATCACCCATTCTTGATTAATATACATTGTTATATAGTATTAGATCAATAGCTAACCCGCTATGAATCTAAGTCATATAATTTTAGTAGTTACTTTATGTAAAACTATTGTTTGTGTATTATGTGAAACGCAATAACATTGTATGATGTCTCCGTAAACAGAGTTATGTATGTGGCTATCAAGTACACAAATATTTCAGTATTGGTATGCACAATAGATTGTATTCTGTGTATTATATGACTGTACAGTGCCCAGCAGGTCAATCTATACCAATTAGTCAATGTTTTTAATTGAATTTTCGCTTTTATATCAAAACAATATTGTTGAGAATCTAACAAAGATATACAGAAAGGAGTTGGTAACTGCTGGTCACTGTAAATAGAATCTTATTTTAATGTTATCATTGTTTCTATTTCAGTAACGTATGATGCCAAGGTGTTAGCTCTGACGTTCATAGACTCGATATCTCAGAAGCCCAAGTTCTTACCGCTCGCCATTCCTAAGGATTTGGCGCATAGGTGAGTTGATATTTTAGTTTGAACATAATCAATCTGTCAGAGTAAACTTCCATAGATAATTAGATATGTAGGTCATTTAGTTTCATTTTTGAACTGAAGACTGAGGTTATCAAGGTGTATCATGTATGTCTTATGTCCTATTTTTTATACTTATAAACGCGTTGATATGATAAGAACCACGACAAGAAATTTTTAATTAAAATTAACAATTAACTATGCATGACATGAAATTGTTATTTTCGCCGTCATATTAACAGTTTAAATTACGTTATTAACAAATAAAAGAATTGCAGTTTTAAATTTTAATCTTTTACAAATGATATTTGATGTCTTTTTCCCAGGATAACGAGATTTAACGGTGATCCATCGTCATGGTGGATAGGTCAGATGCTGAAATACATTTTGAAGCCTCGACAGGCGATGCAGAAAGCCATCAATGACACTATAGCTAAGATGAACTTCAAGAAACCTATCGTTGGGTAAGACAAGTGTGTTGTTGTTTTATGGTAGGTCGGCAAAGAGCAGACGGCTCACCTGATGATAAGCAATCGGCGTCGCTACAAGTACGTTGTAAGCCTTTAGCGGATATGGGTAGGATTTTTTTTAACAGGGGAAAATCATCGAATGGCTGCTCCCGTCTGGGTGAGGCGGGAGGGAGTGTCAGACTCTTACTGACTAAAAACCACCCCGTTCCTTCTCCTGCACTTCGAACCGGAGCCCCGGTTACCCGTTAGGTTCTCCGCGACTCCGAATCGGCATCGGCCCTATTGGGCCCCATCTGTGGTGGTCTGATGGCTCTTTGAGGCGCGCGCGGAACGCGATGCGCCGTACGCTGGGGTCTGGTTCTGGTCGGACGGCGAGCCACCCATTCTCATCGTCCGCAGGCCCGGTAACGGAGTCTCCAATAAAGATATTTTTTAAATGATCCTCAATTCTAGAATTTTACAAGCTCAAAACTACTATATCGTGCGTATGTCTACAAACACATGACTTTACATTCACATTACATCTACACCTATAACAACCACTATACCATATAATTCACACAGACTTCTTGCTCATTATGAGAATCGAACCCGCGACGTTGCTGTACCTATAATTATGCTGTTTTACACGTAAATTCAAGTTTTTAATTACGGACCCAAAACCGTATGGAGATCTAAAAATAAATAGATACATACATAAATAACCTCATGCCTGTCTCCCATGGGGGTAGGCAAGCAGAGACAATAAATAAAAATAAATAAATAAAGCCAATTAATACGATTTTGTGTGTAAAAAAATTAAGTGTTAATAACCGTTATCAATAGTTCGATGTAAGTAGGAAAATAATTGCTAAAATTCGCATACACAAAACTACACATAATTAAATACATTTTATGGCCGCGATAAGTCAATTTTCCGTAAAATTAATTGCAAGTGCGTCGCCATATCGGTTTATAATCATTTATTATTTGGTGTTATGGGTAGAGTTTATATTGTTTCTGTTTAATTTACTGAATAATGAGGGGTATTTATGGTTACATAATGTTGTTTTATTGTTATGTGTTGATTGTTATTCATTTATATTTTTATTGAAATGTTATAAAATTGTAAGAGGTGGATGAATCGAAAGGGAGAGCTCAGGTTCAAAACTCTTATGTACAAAGACCTTAGTACGAGTTTGATATACGTTTAAAGTATTCGGAACGAGTACGCGTTCGGCACTCTGATTGGCCGGCGCCTATGAAGCAACCAATAGATGATGAAGATAATGAAGAAAACAAACATACACAGAAATACAAACACACAAACGTTCGCATCTTATATCTTATCTTATATTCTTATACTATTATTATATAAAGCGGAAGTTTGCTTTTTTGTTTGTTTGTTTGAACGCGCTAATCTCCGTAACTACAAGTCTGGTTTGAATAATTCTTTTTGTGTTGGATAGCGCATTTATCGAGGATGGCTATAGGCTATAAAACATCACGCTACGACCAATAAGAGCTGAGCAGAGCGTGTGAAACCGCGCGGAAGTAGCTAGTTTATAATATAACACTAGCTTCTGCCAGCAGCTATGCCCGCGTTCCTGTGAGATGAAAGTAGCCTATGTGTTATTTTGAACCATAATCTATCCTATTGCAAACTTCACCCCTATACCTTATCTTGTCGCTGAGACCCTAACTAGTAACCGGGGCTCCGGCTCGACGTCCAGGAGAAGGAACGGTGTGGTTTTTAGTCAGTAAGAGTCTGAAACTCCCTCCCGCCTCGCCCAGGCGGAAGCAGTCATTCGATAATTTTCCTGCCTTAAAAAATACCTTATGTTAACACATTAAACGTCGTGGGGATCACCGGTGACCGACGTTAGTGGAGGATTTGTCTTCATCAGTTTTCTATTGGCAGTCAAAGGCTTAAATTATAACTGCGGAGGACTTTACGGGTTGCCAGGGCACCGGCTCGAAAGGCTCCTGCCTTTTGCCAGCAGTCTGACTAAAAACTATCCCAGTCCTACAAGAGTCTGACGCTAAAGGCCGGAGAAGTCATTCGATGATTTTCCTCCCTTAAAAAACATACGTTATCTTATTTCGTGATTGAATAATAAACTTACAAATTTTCGGACTTATATTATTAGAAAGAAGTAAGATACAAATATATCATATATCTACATGTCATGTATTTCAGAGTCCACATAAGGAGAACAGACAAGGTGGGCACGGAGGCGGCCTTCCACCACATCCACGAGTACATGGTCCATGTCAAGGACTACTACGACCAGCTCGAGCTCACCCGCCCTGTCGACGTCAGGCGAGTCTACCTGGCTACTGATGATGCTAACGTAAGTACATTATCGTCATCTTACTAGTATCGATCTTAATTTAAACCATACAATAAATGTCAAAATGAATCTTAATTCAAAGATTGAAAGTTCATTTCGCATAATTAGAGGTATGATGGCCTGTAGATATCTCTTAATTAAGACAATAGATAACCTGTTTTGACCAATCACTTTTGAACCATATCGCTTAGCTAAAAGTTACTTAACGTGACGAACCAATACCCAATAAACAAATCTTTATTGCAATCTAAGCTGATCTGTCTACATAAACTTCCACCTAAATTAACTCTTTGTTAGGTGTCACATATAGATTAGTGAAAACTAAAATGTCGTTGAATGTGCTACCTAAGATAGATAGGTACCTTATGGGTGCCTTAAAATTTACGAGAGCGCAATATTTTTGTTATATGGATTATTTATTGACTGCATGGTTGGTGCGGTGGCTGGGCAACCGGCTGCCGTGCAGCGTGCCGCGGGTTCGATTACCACACGAATCAACACTTAGTGTGATCCACAAATTGTTCGGTCTGAGTATCATGTGTATATGAATTTGTATGTTTGTAAACGCACCCACAATACAGGAAATAAAGCTTGAGTGGGGCAACGTTTAAAAAAAAAATGTGAATGTTTGTTCACTGTTGTGTATGAAAATGAGTGTAGTATGAATCTGTATATTATATCGCAGGTATTGGAAGATGCACGCAGCAAGTACCCGTCGTACGAGTTCCTGGGCGACGCGTCGATCGCCAAGACGGCGGCGACACACCGGCGGTACACGCCGCTGTCGCTGACCGGCCTGCTCGTCGACCTACATCTACTCGCGCTGTGCGACTACCTCGTCTGTACCTTCAGTAGCCAGGTACACCGGTCTACTACTACATTATACCACTAACGGTCTCAGCTACACGCCGCTGTCGCTGACCGGCCTGCTCGTCGACCTACATCTACTCGCGCTGTGCGACTACCTCGTCTGTACCTTCAGTAGCCAGGTACACCGGTCTACTACTACATTATACCACACGTGGTCTCATGACAACATACAAACATCCTAACATAACATAACATGACAGCTTTTATCCCGATCCGAAGGGGTAGGCAGAGGTGCACACAGAAGTAAAGCCCACTTTTCACTATTTAAGTTATGAGTCCCATGTAATAGGGAGTGACCCCATTGCCATATACCGCGGGCACATTTCCAGACTTCGTGCTACTACTGTACCTGTACGAGTACCTGGACGATTTACAATTAATTATGTATCTGTTTGTAGGTCGGCAGAGTAGCGTACGAGATGATGCAGACGAACCGCGTGGACGCGTCAGACAGCTTCTTCTCCCTCGACGACATCTACTACTTCGGCGGACAGAATGCACACGATAGAGTTGCTGTCATGCCCAATGATGGCGCTTATCAGGATATATCCTTCCAGGTAACTATATACACTACATCAACTGCCTCTAACAATTCATTACTGGACTAGGGACTAATAAATTATGTGTAGCCATCATACCACCAATATATAGTAAGTAATAATGATAATGTATCAGTGAGATTGTAAACAAACATTAATTTTAAACTGTCAACACCAACCGGTCATCGGTGACCGCAACCTATTGTTCTATAATTGTGTCTATAATGACGGTACTCGACGAGTTAAAAGAGAAAACATAGAGTTTCTGCCTCATTCTTCTACATTCAAAACTACGACGAAACTTTGGAACGAGCGCCTAGCTTCTCTGACAATCAGACGGACAATTCAGATTTGGCGTTTCAAAAATTAATGTAAATAAATGTATTTATTGATAGGGTGGGCATGGTTTAACAATTTAAATTATCAAATGAAAAGATACATTGAACGAATATAGTTAATCTTTAGATATTACCGTATTTCGACTCATTGCTGGCCTTAAAATTAGTTGAATAATGGCGCTGTCGTAGAAAAATAGCTTAATGCGATTCATTGCGCTGATTTTGAAAACATTGTTCTATGTTACACAGTTATCGGAACTTTAAATATGTATTACAATAATAATTCGTTTTATTTATGTTTTCAGGTTGGCGATTTAATAGGCATTGCGGGCAACCACTGGAACGGTTACGGTCGAGGCACCAACAAACGAACAAACATGGTGAGACTAATTACTGTACCATTATTATTATTATTATAATAAATGCATTTACCTACGTTATTGAACTCGGATTTAAGCTTAATTTACTTTTATTTACGACTAAAGACTTGTAATATTTTCTAGAAAATATGTTCTTAAATGCACCATCCAATGTTTATCTAATTGATATACAAGTCCGTGTTGTATGACTGGGAAATTATTTGCTGTATATGCTGATTCAGAATAGTAAAAATGTGTCTTGTTTTAATTCTCAGTAGTAGCACGGATTCTGTAATTGTGCCCGGTATATGGCAATAGGCTCACCCCCTAATTACATGGGACTCATAAGATAAATAGTGGAAAGTGGGTGTTACATTGTACAGTGGCATTAAGTGCCGTAATGTACACCTCTGCTTATCCCTTCGGGGATAAAAGGCATGATGTTATGTTATGTTATGGAAACCTGTAGAAAACTTTATAGTTATTTTTATACATATTTTCAACATAAGTTTACGTCAATATTATATAAAATTAAGAAGGAAACTTCATACGTAGATAGGATTTTATCACTAACATTATGATAACCTGTTATTGTATAATAACTACTGTGATACGTACTTGCATCCATGCTCATAACTGAGAGTTCCGTTGTGACTTGAAATTAGTGGAACTTTCTCAATAATTTACGTGAGAAAACTGTTAATTTGAATGGGGGCTACTGTATTTTTACCTCTCGTTTTTCGTGCAATACCAAATCAGTTAGTGGTACACCATAGGACGGTACATATTGGACAGCTGCAGTGATTTCATATCTTGAAAAACTTATATTCGTGCCATCTAAGGACCAATAACGGAAGCCTCCATTAAATTCTCTCTTTCATTTCAGAATGGACTGATACCTTGGTACAAGACTGCGGACCATTTGGTCCTATACCCATTCCCGGAGTACAAACAGGTGCCGCTGTACACAGATACGCGACAGAAAGACTTATAAGGAAGGCCCTAGTGGTCTCCTACAGACACAAGGGACGTCCTAGTGGTGCCCTAAAGACACAAGGAAGGTCCTAGTGGTTCCCCATAGACTCTGATGACGTGACCTAAGTGACTATTAACAGTTTCGTTATTTAATTACATCGTGCGTTGTGCAAACTTGTGGGAGCTGCAATTTATACGGGCTTGTATACAGGCTAGACGTAAAAAAACTAGCCAAATTATATTTTTTTGCAGAAATAACTCTAAATACAGTGTGATTAAAGTTTAATTCTAGTTGAAACTTCAGTGGTTTTACTAAAAAATTGATTAAGAAATCTGCAGAATTACTCAAAATTGTATCGCAGTCTCGCCTGTGTACACGTCTCTTGCGCGTAGAAATAATATTTATGTCGTTAAAGTTTTCGTAAAAACGTCTTTTACGGGCTTGTTAATTGTTAATGGACTGTCTTTAATTAATTAATTACTATATGTACTGTGAGCGTGAACTTCTCAATTTCTTTAATTATGGTTTACAGCTTCTGTACGTAACCGTTTGACTGGAAAACTACCAGTTTCACTGATGCCTTGTTCGCACTATGCTAGTATATTAGTCGAGCATCGAGTGTGTAGTATATCTCTTTCGTTTCTGTCCCAAAATCGAAGCGAGAGAGAGTTACCAAATACTCGCTACTTGACTAAAGTACTAGCATAGTGTGAACACGGCGTAAGTGCTGTCCGCGCAATGTTGCTCTAGACATGCCCCCAGCGTGGCTTGAAATGAGTTCAGTTACTTCGTCAAACAGTTGCAAGTAAGCTGTGAGTCAGACTTTATTGAAAAAGTCTGCATTTCTGTTGAATTTTTGAAATATGATTGTTGAATCATAGATTAAGGTTAATATCTCAAGTTTAAATAAATCTATCGAATGGGTTTGAAAACTTTGATCTTTTATGAGATGTTAGGAGATGTTGAAAGTGTAATCGTTATGATTTGTGGTGTCCGCATTTAACATGTATTCAAAACTAGTACAAATGTACTGTTAAAGAATTAAAAAATGTAATGTACAAGTTAAAGAGATGTCTTTAAGGAAAAATATAATGAAGTTTCCACTTTAAAGTCAACCAGCTACCAGTTTTACCTAATTTGAACCGTATTACCAACTGCATAGATCTAAAATACAAACAATCGCCCTGCAACATTTATATGACTTGGCAAGAAGATAAAAACAGTCTCCATCAATCAACAGTACTGGTTCTGTTCTGACTAACAGACAATGCATTCCTTCTGCGCAGTTTTGGCTAATACTTATACAATATTAAGGTTAAAAAAGGAAACATAATGTTCCATTATCAATATTAAACTGACTAATTTTGAGTCCTAATGCGCTAACGGTTTGATAGTTGCGCAAAGTATTTGCGCATAATCACAGCCCATTTTTTACGACGAGACATTTACCCGTTGTAAAAACTGTACCTTTTTGAAACAGTAAATGAACTTATGAAACTCACAATTATTAATTTAACATTATTTTTATACAAAAACAATTTTTTCTTAAACTACTATTATTATGTTAAATCATAGACTTAATATTTATAACAACTTTCGAAAGTATTTATGTATTTATACATTCCATTTTATTTTGTTCCTTTTTGTTTTGTGTATTACTTAAAATATTATTTGTGAGATTGTATTTTGAATTTAGACAAGTGGTTCAAAGCTCATAAAAGAGTTTGTCAGCAAGTCGCCAAGTTTTTTGTCTGAGTTAGGCCTACTGTTCGCGTTGTGTGATTTGATGAATCCGTTAATCCTTTACAAACAATTGGCAGATTTAATATTGCAGCTTAGTGGACAGTTTTCACCGTTTCTTAGCAAGATGCAAGCATTTGTCATTAGTAGGACGCCTGTTGTTTCGTGGAATGAAGGATGCATTCGTCAAATGACGCAACGTTGCCAGTTGCCTTAAGTGTATATGTGATACCCATAGTATAATTGGGAAATGTAACGAAATGTCACAAAATTTTGATTAGTCAATTCGAATTTTCAAATGAAACTCAATATTTTTAATGTATTACAATATAGCGTAGAAATTATCAAAATTATTTACTAAAGCAGATCTGATAATGTTAAATTAGAAGAAAAATTTTGGGTATTCTAATTTGTTCTGTATATTTAATTCAAAAATGTAATTCCACTATTGGCATTTTGAAAAAAACTGTACTTGAGTTCAGAGCGAGAAAGGAGATCTGATTGTTGGAAAACGTGAGGATTCCATAAACTAACATTGTATTTGTAATAGTCCCAACGGTTTTGTGTTAATATGGATGTCAGAAACAAATTCTAATCAAAAGTAAAATAATTAGGCTACATACTAATGGGAACTATCTCAACTAGTTTCAAACTTGGCTCTGGATTTATATTGCGCAGTTAACTTACTCATCACGAATGCTGCTTTTGTTTATTAGTCTCGGCCGTGGTTGAAACTGGACGAGCACCCTCGAATAGTTGGGTTATATTCTGTTTAATTTTATGTTTCTCAATCGTTATTACAGATACAAAAACTATCAGATAAATAAACACATTATCTTTTAGTTTTATTTAATACTGGCCCTAAAAATGATATTTGTGGTCAATAAACAAAAATAGTTGGGACTACATCACATAGTTTGATTAAGAATATAGTACTGATATAAACGTTACAAATGCGGCCTATTAAACTGTCAAACACCAAGCGGTCACCGGTGACCGCAACCTATTGTTCTATAATTGTGTCTACAAAACCGGTACTCGACGAGTTAATATATGTTATACTGTCTGTCTGTACATGTCCTCTATATATTTAAATGTAATGTCTTTGAATATATTTGATATGTCATATGATCGAGTCAATACAATGTTTGTCCAATGTCAGTTTTGTTACAAACTGTTGGATCAAATATTGGTCGAAATATTTATCTTTCCATGTTTTGCCGCCTTGTTTTATAACCTAGTAAGAGAGTTCTTGTCTTATGATTCATCCGCTATGATATCGTCTATTTGGGTATTTCCCTCAGTCAAATATCTACATAAAATTGTATTAAATATTCACAGAAAACACTTTCATTTTATTAGCGGTATATTAAATTGCCTCTTGACGCGATAATATGGCGTCATATTGAACCCGCAATCAATTTGAACAAACATTTTAGATAATGTTTTAGACATTGCGTATAATTTGACTATATAATTGGAAAATACCCTATTTTCATTTTTTAAGGTAAATTATTATTATTATTCCTGTTTTCAAAGTTGAGGATCTGATTAAAATATGGCCCGTGTATACGCCATGACTTAAAATCGATAAAATAATGTCTGCAATCATTTTACTTGTAAATTATTCTCTTTGGTAGTCGTTTGTTATGAAAATTATTTGATTATGAATTTTACTCTTATTTTGCAAATGTACCTACATGCGTTATACTATTATAGTCTGTAAACAAGTATTTATTGTCTGTATAGCATTTATATGTGTCATAATTATCCATGATATAATCCGAGTGCTAATACGTACATGCCTTATCAACAATATGTCATTAAAGGAATTTAATATATTAAAACAAATGTTTAAAAACATATATGAAAAAGTAATACTCTTGATTAGTGCAATGTTTTATGAATTTCTTCTTTTTTGTTATTTCTTCTATAAGTATCGTCGACATACTTTTGTATTTTAAGTCTTGTGAGATGTTAAATTAATCATGTTTAACGGCGTCTTGTTTGGCGTAATGCTACTTATGACTATGAGCCCTTAGCACGGCTTGAAACTAATCGAGTTGCCTCGTAAGCTGTAGAACATAATTAATTTAGTATCGTTGACAGTTTGTACCACAGATAATCTTCCAAGTTTGTATCTAAGCACTGGTATTTTCGTATAATTCCATAATGATTTTTGTTTCCATAGAATGTAATGATAGTTTCTACTAGAGCGGTGATATCTGTATTTTTTAACTTTGTATCTGTCTGAGCTTCAGTAAGATTTATGATAAAGTAACATGGACCTAAAATGTGTGTATATAGCTTAAAATTATAGTGTATATAGAAAGGAAAAATAATATAAATTAATGGCAATATGTGGAGGTATTTTTTGTTTAATTTTCATTCCTTTATAGTACTAGGTATCTACTATTATATCCTATGGAATCACTGAGAGAAAGTCAGCATAACAAAAACAGTTAAAACTACGAGCACTGTCAGAAGAGTTAGTATTATAACAGAGAATTAAAAAAAAAAATAACCCATTCCGGGCTCGTACACAAAACTGCGATGCGAAGTCGCATCGCAAAAATGTGCAAGCTCCCTATACGCATCGCAAGTAGAACTCTTCATCATCAATCATCATAATCTTATCTTCCCAAAATCTACTTTGTTTCTTTTTCCTGTATCTCCTAAGCAATAACAAAAGTGCACACTTCTTTTTGCGATCCATGTCACGACGTAGTTTTCAATTTAAAATACGTTAAGTACGGTTGACGGTCGTCTAATCTAAGGAATGGTCACCCTGGGAGATGCCTTGTCGCACGAAATGGCATCGCAACAATACGTATCGTAATTTTCTACGTTGCGAATTCGCATCGCATCACAGTTTTGTGTAGGAGCCTTTTGTCTGTGCCCTAACTAGAAATCTACCCTATATTTATTTGGTACTTGCGATTAACAAGTCCAACTAGGAAAGACCCGTTTACAACAAAGTAACATGCGACTCCAATAAGAAACACGCGACTTCGACTGCCTATCATACATTATACAGTTTGCATCGTGAAGATTCAACGATGTTTTTCCTCATATCGTTTCTGAGAACATGCGTGATTGCCACTTACCCTCTTTAAGGCCCGTTACTTTATACTGCGAGGTTTATCAATTTGCTTGTAGCTACGCGGAAGGCAGTAGAGTAGTAATCAGCAAATTCTATTGAGGGGCCTTCGATCTCGTACAGATGTCCCCTTTTTTATTAAGGGGTGAAAATCATCGAGTGGCTGCTCCCGCCTGGGTGAGGCGGGAGGGAGTGTCAGACTCTTACTGACTAAAAACCACCCCGTTCCTTCTCCTGCACGTCGAGTCGGAGCCCCGGTAACCCGTTAGGTTCTCTGCTAGAAGTATGAAATATGATCTATGAGCGGAAAGTGATTTCAAAACTTATTAGTTCTAAGGTTTATGTTTGACTGGAAGAATGTGTTTGGTTGCGCAGGGTTCCCCTTTGTACGGGACCCGTAGTAAATGCTAGAACTACTCTATGCTCGATGTCTTAAATCCTATACTGGCTGAAGGGTTGCTACTCTTAGCATCTCTTCGACTGGCGCCCGCACTGAGACTCGTAACTCAATTAGCTGTGTAGAAATTTTATTGATTACACACAGGCCATGAGAGTAGCGGGTATATTTTATACAGTTTATGCACGTTGCTGGTAAATTAAGAAGGCAAGCATGGCTTTTAACTTATTTGTTAAGTCGATAAAATTCGGAGCAAACTGATTAGATTTAGGGTTCCGAAAATTTCATAGAGGCAAGCTTACTTTTTGTCTTATTTCTAAAATAACGACCAGATAGCTAAACAGCAATGTTCAATGTTCTTTATAAAATCGTAGCGAGGAGTCCAATAGCATACAGCGTGAGAGAGAAATCCAACGACTACTTAGAACCAGCCCTACAGAAACAGAAATCAAAACAAACACGAATCTAAAGTCAAGTCACATAAATAAACAGCTCCCACTTGAGTCAGCGCAGAGTTAGCGTTGAAACCACTTTCTTAAACCTCACTTTTAATGGCCTCGTAAAAAGCGACTGCGGCGAAAGTAGCTGTCGTGAAGTTCAATAGCACGGCGTAACAGTACCGCGGCGACTCACGCGCTGCACCGCTCACCTGCAGTCTCTGCTCGTACATGGAGCGAAGATGTGGACTCTTCTAGTAGTTGTTACATGTTGTGTCAGCACTGTGCTGCCGGCCAAACATTTGCCCAAATGGAAGAAGCAGGTAATTACTTTGATTATTGTTTATAAGTGATGTGATTATTTATACAGTTTGATTCTCATATTTTAGGATTGTTTGATGATAATAAAAACAAGGTGAGATGAGTGTTAATCTAGAGCAAATTTTTAGCACGGGATTTAGCAGAAGCTAACTATAAAAGTTTAGAAACAAATTAACGACGTAGGAGTTATAACGTTTTCAGTTAATGTATTGTTTTTTCAAGAGTAAATATAATATTAAAATTTGATGTACTTCAATTACAAAGTTACTAATTAATATCTCGTTTCATCAAACGTGTGTTTAAAACAAAAAATCACTTAAGTAGGAAATAAAACATCAATCAATATTGTACTCACGTGGATCGAGAGAACTAAAACTAGATTAATTACATAATTTATGTAGATTTTTTAAAACAGGTAATATAATTAGTTGTTTATCATTTAAGTAGTACACCGAAGTAACACATGATTAAAATAAATAGTAAATAAGAGATGAGTAGGTAAATGTTTTCACCGGCGTTTTCCCGCGGCCTACTTTCGCATTGCTTTCTCGCGACTCATATTAGAAAGTTCCTGCGGTGAGTCAGCGAGATGCGTGCATCCTGATGTTAGGATTGAAGGAGAGCCCATCGCTTTCTACCTACGTACGGTACATCTTCTACAATTGCTACACGAACACGATCCACTAAATAAATCACGCTAAATCTAGCACATTTAACTTGATGTCAAACTTTAACAGCATCTTGCCTATTTACTATTCTTTCCAAGTCTAAAATGTGTACTGGCGAATTCATTGGTTAATTAACACTAAAGATGTCTTCGAATCATCATGTACTTAGTTAGCTGTATGTAAAATTAGCTAGATATGTGTTTGTAAACTAACCCACAATACATGGGGGAATCCTGCCCAACGTGGAATAAATTCAAAAACGTTTTAACTCATAAGTATCCTTGTGGTCATTCCTATAAGCCCACATAATATCTCAATAACTTTGCATGCGCAAACTTTGCACCACTACTCTTTAAAAGTTAAATGTTTTGTCAATAACAAACTTGTGCACGTTTCGATCTATTCTCTATACACTACCTTCTAACTAACATCTGTTTCGTCTACCTTCTGTAAGACGGTACGTATTCGACAGGCGTGTGAGCTGCCGGCAGTGCAGAGTGAGCACAGCCACTACATCTGCGATGACAAAGGGGAGCCAAAGTGCCTGCCTGGCTGGCAGGGAGACCTCTGCGATGTACCTATTTGCAAGAAAGGATGTGATCCCTTGCAAGGTTTGTGTGGCTTTATGATTTAATTTTATTAATAGAAAAGATAAGATGGTTTATAATGTCTTACAAGCACGTGTTGCGAGGTTCCTCTAAACTACAGAATTACGAAAAGCGTAGGACTGTGCCAACGAGGAACTTTTGTCTGGTTGCATTTGCTCAATTGTATGCAGGGTACGCTTAGACCTCTTCGTTTTCGTCTCTAGTCTACGCATGCCTTAAATGCTAAAATTGGCGTATGCTAGTAGAGGCGAGGCCTCTTATCCTCATATTATCGCTAGAGATACTGTAGCTATCTGTGTTATGTTTCGAAATTTTACGAGAACCTCTTAAAGACAAAGTGAGGATTCCTAGACTTCCAAGTCATCTCATTTTTCAATTCTATATAGGTACCTAGGCTTCTACTATAATACAAATACATTATGTTCAATACTTAGGTAATTAAATAGAAGTTTGTATCTCTAGTGTCCAGTTAGACATATTGAATTGAGCAACATCAAAGTTAAGCCAATCCATTTGTACAAACATGCAAGTACCGCAACTCTCACACTTTCAATTGACATGACATTAACAAGACATCATTGAAACTGGCACGATGACTAAACGTACCTTCCCTGAGAGGTAACGGCTTGTCCCGTTTTGTTCAGCTCATTAGCGATCCACGATTGTACCGCAAAACTTTTTGTGCACCAGCCGGGCCGCCATCTTAGCTACAGTTATTTGATAACCACAGCGCTCCAAATGAATTTATTATCATCGCTGAGCTTTTACAAACACGAACTTATTGACTGCCCGTTAGGTTGTTTCTTTGTTCTGATGCTTTGTTTGTTTTAATAACAATTTGCAGAGCTGTTTTACAGATATGACAATGTAACTTATAACACTTTATTTTAAATGTTTTCATTCCTCTCACCGACAAAATTCTTAGGGCTTTCTATTTAGATATATGTAGTAAATTGGTAGGTATTTAATAAAATACTATTTTACACTACCAGGATACTGCAAGCGCCCAGGCGAGTGTCGCTGCAAGCTTGGTTTCTACGGCGACCGCTGCAACAAGTGCATCCCCCTGCCTGGCTGTCAGCACGGCTACTGCAACGAGTCCTTCGAGTGCATCTGCAAGGAGGGATGGGACGGACTGTTCTGCTCTGAACGTGAGTTCAACATAACTTTATGCTACTTTAGAGTTAGGACTATACATTGTACACTCAGGTTTTACGCCGAGAGAGAATGATACTAAGGAGACACGAAGTTCAGTAAGAGCTCGCACACAAAACTGTGATGCGATGCAAATTCGCAACGCAAAATATTACGATGCGAATTGCTGCGATGCGATTTCGTGCGACAAGTCGTCTCCCAGTGTGACCATTCCTTCGACAACCGTCAACCATACTAAACGTATATTAAATTGAAAACTACGTCGTGATATGGATCGTAAAAACAAATATGCATTTCTGTTATTGCTAAGTAGATACAGGAAAAAGAAACAAAGAAGATTTTGGGAGATAAGATATTGATGCGCGATGCGAATTAATTCGCAAGTTCCTGCGATGCGTAGACGAAGCTCGCATATTTTTGCGATGCGACGTCGCATCTCAGTTTTTTGTACGAGCCCTAAACCCGATGAATTTAGCTGCTAAAATCAAATGGTTGAAATTTTTCCAAAAATACATACAATCATTTATTGTACAGATACAATCTTCCATATGAATGCTTATCGAATAATTTGTCAAACAGATAGTAGTTTCCTCATAATTTTCGCAGCTATACTTTCCATTGTTACTTATCATGCCATTTTTCTATAGACAAGTTCGCCACATACTTTGGACCTTCCAAAACCGCTGCAACTCCTGTAACTAATAAATTGTTATTTACATTATAAACATGTTATTATGTTCGTGCAGCGATTTGTCGGTCTGACTGTCACGCGACTCGAGGTTTTTGCGATTCGCCTGGGGAGTGTCGGTGCAAGCTGGGCTGGGCGGGGCCAACGTGTCGCTCGTGCCAGCAGCTGCCGGGGTGCCAACATGGCTACTGCGACAAGCCACTAGAGTGCAAGTGTCTGCCGGGATACACTGGGCTGCTGTGTCAGACTCGTGAGTATTATAAAATTTACTAGAGCACGCTAATAATAGCTGTCTTATAAACTGTCACGGATTCTTAACTTAAATGTCTCTTTTAGTAACCGCCAATTAAGTAGGATCAACCATCAGAATCAAGATCCGCTTGCCATGTACCTCGTACTTAATTTTTTCGATTCATTATTAATACAGAGAATTTTCGAAAAGCGAAAGTTTCAGGAGAATAGCAATTTCTAAGATCATTCTGATAACGACGAGATGTAGTTACATTTTCCGAAACAGAACATCTTCAAAGCCTCATTCTTTTGCTTTAATTAATTAAATTAAACATCTTGTCCTTTGCAGCTATCTGCGCCTCTGGGTGTCACGCTGAGCGGGGTTACTGCCGTCGTCCTGGCGAGTGTCGCTGCAAGGTGGGCTGGACAGGCGCCTTCTGCGGGGAGTGCCACCGGTACCCTGGTTGCGTGCACGGTACCTGCAACAAACCCTGGGAGTGTCTATGCGAACCCGGCTGGGGAGGCATGCTTTGTGATGAAGGTAATGTCTAGCTTCCTTGGTTTCTCCCAGACATTAGCCTTAATGTTTTTCTGTTAGGTAGACAATTGCATAAAAATCCGTGAACAAACAGCGATGTACTTTTTGTACTTAAAATCAAAATTGAGATGTACCTTTGTAGCTTTACTTGAATGATTACGCTCATTATTTAATTATTGTCGTGTTCATGACAGTTGTATCTTTTTCTATCCACTTAAACTAAATAAAAATCGATATCTTCATTCCCAGAACTGAACTACTGCGAGAAGAACCCAGATACGTGCCAGAATGGTGGTAAATGTATATCTCTGGAGTCTGGCGACGGATTCTTCAAGTGTTACTGTCAGCCAGGCATCACGGGCAAGCATTGTGAGATCGTGCCTGAAATCGCAACACCGGCCAACGCTACAGTGACCGAAGAAACGAGTTCGGAAAATCTGACCGTGGTCGGAGTTGAGACTTCCTCAGAAGTGGGGAGTACAGAGCCCAACAGTGGGGATAATGAGACTGAGTGATTTGTAGGCGATTAGCAGTCATATTGTAAGTTAGGTAGTACATTATTTATTTGTAGAAATTTAAATGAGTGCTCATACTCGCTTATTGTATTAGACATCGACTGAGATTTGTCTCGAGGCACACTGCACATTACTTATTAAGTGTTTAACAAGAAATAATTAGAAACAACATTGATTTTGGCATAATAACAACTCGATAACTGTGAATCTATCGAACTATAAGATTTGTTTATGATAAATCATACCACTGTATTGTTATATAGTAATATGGACAAGAAACATTTTTGTCTACATTTATGTGAAATGTAAACTATCATTGAAAGATTTCTAAAAGTTGCCAGTAATGTGCTCCTTGTTTCACTATAAAACGCCTATCCTAAATAGGTACCCTCCATTAAAACATGATTGAAACCGCTTTGATTGTGTCCATAATAAAGTAACTGCAGAGTAACGTAATAATGTTATGTTTAAACAAGTTGGTTGGTTTAAATTATGCTTGGACTATGTTCGTGTCTGGAAAACGATAGATAATCATAGGCCTAGTGTGTTAGCTACTCAAAGAATATACAAATCATATTATGTATTGATCATCAATAACCTATAAGTGGCCACTGCTGACCAAAGGCGTCTTCTCGCACGGAGAACGTTTGAGCATTAATCACCACACTTGCTCAATGCGGGTTTGCGATTTCAAACTTACAATTAGAAATTATAAGCCCAGGTCTCCCCACGATGTTTTCCTTCACTGCTTGTCAGTGGTGTCTCAATAATCTTAAAAAGTACACATGATTCGGAAAAGTCACATTGCTACTTGGCGTTGGTAGGTTACGAACTCGCGCCCTCATGCATGAGATGCACCACAACATTTGTCCCTCCCTACTATTATTATGTATTAGGTTAGTTCTAACAGCCCATGGTTGCATAACTATGAGCCTCTTCTACACAGGAGAGGTTTGCTCATAATCTACATGCTTGATAGGTTGAATACAGATCACAGTTTAATGTTCAAGGTCATCAGAGAGCGCTGTTGCCTGGTTTTTTTCAAAACAGTCTGACGTTTTTGCTCAATAGATGACGCAATTGTAGGAAGTGATTTTTGTCCAATCACAACAGCTATCAAATATTGATCAATCAATAGCGTGACACTAATTCCCTGTTCGACGAAGAACTAAAATCCACACTAGCGACATCTGATAAGAAAAAATACGTTAAGCCTCAATGTGTAGTCCCTTAGTCGACACCCACGAGAAAAGCAGCGGTGGTGACAAATGTATTTACTCTGCCGTCATAACACGGTACTAACAATTCAAGTTTTCCAGACTCGAACGTACAATTTGCTGTTCTATTTAGTTCTAGAAATAATGATCTAGAGTCTGGACTGATGACTAAGTGCTATGAGTGAAATGGTATTTATATTTGTGCTTGTCGATAGAGGGAGTAGACAACTTCAATGTTCGGGGTTGAAACGTACGGATATAGGCATTGTGTCAAAATTTACCTCAAGCTCATAAGTTGGTATGGCGCGTTACGTTCCGCGATCAAAGAGCCATCAGACCACCTCAGATGGGGCCGATGCCCGATATGGAGCCGCGGAAGACTTAACGTGTTTCCGAGGCTCCGGCTCGAAGTGCAGGAGTGGGAACAGAGTGGTTTTTATTCAGTAAGAGTCTGACACTCCGTCTTGCCTCACTCAAGGCCGTAGAAGTCATTGGATGATTTCCCCCTTCAAAGAAGCCCATAAGTTAAGTTTTCTATTCTCTCGGTAGACTGTTACTTAAATACCATTTGGGTCATAGACTGAATACTTATCAAATAGGCATGAAAAATGTGTATTTATGTAATTAAGTGGAAATGTGTGTATTTATTAATTGTGTATTTGATGTATGACTGTTTCATAGATTTAAGTATTTATTTTGGATAATAAAACTATTTAAATTGATTACGTATGACTTCTTAGTGAACTCGATACCCTTTGACTGATAATAGCGAATTTTTTTTAGAAAACGTTGCCTCACATTAGGATTTTCACCTGTGTCGTGGGTGCGTTTACAAACATACAAGTTCACATACACAGTGACATCCAGACCCGAAACAACAATTTGTGGATCACACAAAGTGTTGTTCCGTGCGGTAATCGAACCCGCGACACGTTGCACGGCAGCCGGTTGCCAAGCCACCGGACCAACCGTGCAGTCAACAGCCACTGGACTAAACTTTTAAAGTTCTTCAATGCGTTTGTAACTATTATGGTTTTGCGGGTGTCCATGGACCGTCAGGTGATCGTATACCTGTATGGCATGTATCACATTACATTTTTTGTAAAGTAATGGACACTACCTGTGTTACACACATCCTTTAACATACCAAAACATAATAAATAACGTTAATTACTAATGAATTATTCAAATAATCAGTACATTTTAACTGAACTGAGGTTTTACTGATTTGATTAACACATGTGGGCTTAGATAACCTAATTACAAAGTTAAATTGATCTCAATCACCAAAGTAGAGAGTACACGCCCTTCTTAAGAACTGGATAGCATCCGTTTGGGGCATTCCTTTAGCGACTAGACTATTTCATATTTATGAGGGAATATATCTAGACCTAGATATTAGGTTAGGCAATACCTATCTTAGATAATTTATTAATTTTATTACATATATCTGCTTACAATTGAGGTGCAAACAAGCCTTCAGCTCGCCTGACCGAAGTTACGAGGTCTGCAACATCAGAGATGTCATTAGCCTATTGTCATATTGGTACCGGGCAGCATTTTAGACTGCGGGCTATTTTTTAATCTTTGTCTGGCAAGAGAATACTGAGTAAGCAATACTTGCATACCTAGGTACATCAATTATAAATGATTGATCTACAGCAATTATTTCTTTAGATATTTTAGTATATAGCTAAGTAAAATCCATAAAATGGAGCTGACAATTAGCGAGGCTGCAGCTGGTGCTACGGATCGAGACAAGACTACAGCTATTTTCGATACTGTACATACATAGAAAATTACACTAGAAACATTGTTAATTTTGTCAATTTTTGTGCTTGAAGGTTTGTCGAATGTTTATTGACATGGATAATATCAACTTGATATGCCGTTTTACGATCGGGTCTGTGGAGTTGGTTTTGATTTTCCGATAATAAAAAAACGTAGATTGATCATAAATATCTCTACGAAAAAGATATGGTGTTCCTGTATACAGGGATCCTATATATATACAAGGAATTCCAATAGTCCAATAGTCTTTTTCCACCCTGAGAATATAAGTATCGTTTTAAAGCCATTTTCCAAAATGGCGGTCGGCTGTCAGTTGGAATTCGCGCGGGAATTAATTTTTGTGTAAAAACGCGCGCAATACTACGGATGCCTAGGTAGGACCACCGGCTGGCACGCCTTTAGGTCACATGGGACACGATCTAGTACATATTTGTCGGACGAGAAACTAGACTTAGAGCTCAATTATATCTATACTTCTTTTTACAATGCATTTATGGCTTTTCTGAGTGTCCATGGGCACAAATAAACAGTAAAGTTTACATTAACAATCCGAATCATTTCCAAATCGTCCATAACTGAATAACATAACATAACATCACACCTTTTATCCCCGGGGGTAGGCAGAGGTGCACACAGAAGTAACACCACTTTTCACTATTTATGTTATGAGTGAGTCCCATGTAATAGAGGGTGAGCCTATTGCCATATACCGGGCACATTTCCAGACTCCGTGCTACTACTGAGAATTTTTTAAAGGCCCAGTAATACTTTGCCCGACCCGGGAATCGAACCCGAGACCCCTTGCCCGGCAGTCGCACTTGCGACCACACGGCCAACGAGGCAGTCTAACTGAATACTATGGTGAAAAAACTTGTGGTTACATTTTTGTGTGGATTTAAAGACTGAGCAGGAACAGACGCCATCTGTTTGGATTATGTGACAAATGACTTCACCGTTCTGGTGTACCTACACAGCTTACCAATTTTTGTATTCATACATCTTAAGTGGTTTTACATACCCAGTAGAAACAGCTGATGTAGCAGCTTCTATGAATATATCATAATTCAAGTTCCGCTACATTGACCTCTGTAATAAGACAGCAATACCTACATGTAAGGCGTATTAGGTGTTCCATTAATCAACGCGCTTCCGATTGCCACAAAAATTACATAAGTATTTGCGTACAATGTAAATCTTTACCGGTGCTATGAACCGAGAGAATTTGATAACTTAATTATACATATACGAGCTTCGCGTAAATATTTCCATACTAGTAAATCCCGCGCGATACTCGGCTCCTTTTGATGGTATGTGATGTTTTAGGTAGCCTATTTCACTCTCCATCTTTTCGACTGTACTATGTATGTCCATTTAAAAAATCACGTCAATTCGTTGTTCCGTTTTGCTGTGAAAGACGGACATGTAAACAGACACACATTTTCGCATATATAACATTGCAGTGTTAATCTTGTACATAAGGTTACAAGCGCTTAAATGCCATTTACAAATTTTTGATTAAAACTCCGTTAAAGAGAATGAACGAAAATCACACAGGGAAGCGAGTAGGTACTGAATTTAAACGTGGGAGGATGGAAAGCAAGAAGAGAACCAAAAAAGAAGATAGAGAGATTGTGTGAAGAATGATAAGAAAGACAGAGGAGTTTGTGATAGGATGACATAACATGATAGAGGAGAATGTACTGTCCCGTAGTAACTTAGGATAAGGGTAGCTTTAGTGGTTTCAATACTTCTCTGTGATTCTTGTAAATTATTTTTTGCTGTTCCGAAGCAATACGATTCTTCGCCCTATAAATTAATTTGGATTATAAATCGGTATTTGTCTTGTACAATATTTTGATAATACGTCTATAATCTTTTGTCATATATAATTTTTTGCCAACATGATTGTTAGTGTTACTCAGTGCCATCTTTACTATAAGGGTACCTGGGGCCTTCCTCGGGGGCCCCCGAAGGACCGAAAATTTCTACGACGAACACATAACTGCACCTGGTACGGATTAGATTTTCGTGCTGAGCAAATCTTCCTGTGATCTACAAATTGTTGTTTCGAGCCTGGGTATCAAGTGTATGTCAACTTGTATGTCACGACGCAGGAGAAAATCCTAGGCTGGTGCAACGTTTATTGTTTGCCCCAGGTCCCCAGCGTAGTCTAAGACGGCTCTGGTGTTACTTAATATACGTAGTTACTGCTATACGCAGAGTTATTCAAAGGTTGGTTAACCAGGACCTTAGCAATTGTTTACAGAACAAAATCGTATCCAAGGAATAGTTTAAGTAATTATTAATTGTTTCTGAGTACGGCAGTTCGCATATATATATTTTGTATGTCCTTTATAGGATCAAAAGAAGTAGACTGCCTCGTTGGCCGAGTGGTCGCAAGTGCGACTGCCGGGCAAGGGATCTCGGGTTCGATGCCCGGGTCGGGCAAAGTATTACTGGCTTTTAAAAATCTCAGTAGTAGCACGGAGTCTGGAAATGGGCCCGGTATATGGCAATAGGCACACCCCCTATTACATGGGACTCATAACATAAATACTGAAAAGTGGGTTTTACATTACACAGTGGCATTAAGTGCCGTAGTGTCCATCTCTGCCTACCCCTTGGGGAAGAAAAAGGCGTGATGTTATGATCAAAGGAAGTG